GCTCAACGACTTATTTTGAGGTTAAGATCTTTTCAATGTGATTATTCTTACTTTTATTTAACAATTAAGTATTTATTTTATTAATTACAAGCAACGCTTAAAGCTATCAGCGTTTCGGTTAAATTGTAACAGTTAATAATTCTATTTCCACTTTTTTCTACCTTCGATCCCACTCTTCGATCTATCAACGTACACATCCAAACACACAAAAATAATTCGTTTATTTCTTCTCCATAAGTAAATAATCACGTACCTGGGAAAATATTCCATTCGATGAGTTTCTCAACGCTTCTCAGAAGCTTCACAATCTCTCCCAAAAGCGTTTCGTTCCACCGTCGACCTTGATGCACTCAATAGTTGTACACAAGGCGAGTTTTGGCGCGCGAATGGATACCCAGCACATGTCAGGAGCTAGCACGGTCGCTACACGCACGAAACTCGCCGAAATATTCCGAATATTTCTCGCGGACATGTACACTATACTACTAAAAAACAAATTCGCACGAATTGCACACAATTCACACGTTCATCACGGAAAATGTCGCGCCATATACGAATTCTGTCGTTCGATGATCGAAAAGGGTGACACGCATGACGTCATAACGAGACATGCCGATATATCGAACGCGTCACGTACGGAAAGGAACTATAGGCAGAGCGAACCGTAACCTGTCCCTTCTGCCACGTAGAATCTCGTCGTAGTCCTTTCGGAATATCCTACCTACCGCAGTTACGAGCCGCGTTATTTGCTCCCTTGGAACATGGAAAAAGTTTGTGTACTGCGGTTACGCTTTGTCCACTGCGCAAACTTGACCGGTCGGTCGTTCGACTCGGTGGTCGACTCCCCTCGACCCCACCCCACTCTTTGCCATCAAAATGCGCGCCGGTAGGCTAACCTGACCGTGAACAGGCGCGACGCTATTAAACGTCCGAGAAAGAAATATTCGTCGGAATTTCGCGCAATCAAGATGTCGTAAACTGTACATGTACGCTCGTAGCGTAGCAATAAATAATTCTGATCGTTTAATTTCATTTGGCACGCATTAAAAAAGACGTATTATTTAAGTGTTTTTGTATCTGAAATTGTTCGGTGTTCAGTGCGCTTTGTTTTTCATGGAGTGAATGATTGTGTGGTTTTCACTTTTGGTCACGTATGGTTAATGCCAGTTTGAAAAGTGTATTGCATGTTATTGAAGCAAAAAGAAAGGAAAGAGCGATATGTGGAACGTGTTTCGTTTTCTTCCAGTGTTATTAAAAAGAAAGTAACGCGGAAAAGTACGGTTAGCCGTGAGTATTCGATATTGCTTTAACCTGCATACCACCGGTGTTAAGGAAAACGCGGGAAAATATCAAAGTACGCAATTAACAAATTAAAATTATTGCTTTCCAAAATACGTAAAGTATTCGAAGCACTTACGTAGTTTTCGATATTGTTGTTCGAATTAGATAGTTTTAGTACAAATAATTATGTATTTTAAACATTCAAAATTTTATTCAAAGTTAACGTTTCGCGCTCAATTGTTTCAAATATTCTAAATTTTACTTAAATTCTAAAACCTGATGATTGTGAATTACAATTACCAGTATGCAATAGTCCATTATATCGAACTATTCTAGTTCGTCAAATGGAAATTTACAATATTTATTTGAGATATTAAAATTTTTTACTCACCCCGTGGAACCTCCATCACCCTTTGCCAGTTACGGCCCTGCCTGTAGCATCCCTCTCGCTTTCTCCCACCCTGGGTCGCGCGGCGCCTATCGTGCGTCTCCCTCTCTCATTCCCACGCAGTCTCCTTGCAACGAGCCTCGCCACTGCTCACTCTCTATCCTTCCACCTGGCTTCCCTCTCTCCACTCCCAAATAGTCGATGGAGGGGGCGCGGGTGAACGCGGTCGGACGACAGTCCTTCCGCGGATTGCGGATATTGTGTCGCGAAGCCTTGTGTGCTACGGTGTCCTTCGTGGCGTGTTCCTGTACCGAAGATCCCGAACGGTGTAGCATTTCTCCTCTCTGCAACGCTAAGTGGTTCGTCTCGTTGGAAGCTTCACTCAGGAGGACTCGTTTCATGCTCTATCGTGCCGTGCATAGTGCTACCTGCATTCCGCGACGAACTTCTGAAAGGTTAGGTCTCTTCCTGTCACATCCGCGTGCCGCTCCGTGCGACCGTACTTTCCCTTG